TTTAGAGGATTTGATGACTGGACTAACAGAAGTCACAGAATTTTATATATAGACTGAATAGGTGTGTGTGTATATATATATATATAAATCCCATAATCTATCATGAGGTAGCAAAGATTTTTCTACTGGGGTAAATGTGTTTTTATGCTGATTTGAGTGTGCAGGTTACAGATCCATGCTCAGGACTGTTCCAACACATCATAATTTTGCATTATACATGTATACATGATTGGTGGGATCTTGGTTGATATTGGCTTGCAGATATATGTTGAAACACTAGTTCTCAACCGATTACTAAAGGTAAGCAACTTCAGTAAAATAGTGAAAGAAATAACTGGAAGTACTTGGACTTATAATAAGTAGATTTTTAATTTATACTGTTGTACAGGATTTTTAGTCATTTCATATTTATACACCATATTGCGTGTTTAAAACATAGACAGTACATTCTGGCTTTAACTATTATTCTTGAAAATGCCTAAAGAATTATCCAAAAATGTTTGGGACAATAATCACTATTGACAGTTCTATATATCACTAGTTCTCATAGAAGAAAAGAGATAAAGACATGTGTTATGTATCTTCAGGATGTAGGCGATCATGGCTCTCTACAATTTCCTGCTCTTTGTAGCTCGTAAAAAAAACTGTCTTTTTTATCTCTCCTAAACCCTGATCCACCATCCATTTACTCTGTTATGGGACCCTACCTTTATGGACTAAATGGACTCGTCCTATTACTATATATATAGGGAGATTATGCCTCTCAAGAGAGTGATCTACAGTTGACGAGTTGACTACTGTACTTTGCTGTCAGTCAGATGTGCAACACTTTTGTATTCGTTCTTTTTGTTAATAATCTGTCTTCACTAAATTGCTGAGTTCGAGTTTTCTTTCGGAGCTATTCTGGGTCCACAACATACTCAAGCTCACTAAGTAGGTTATACAGGTCGCCATGGATAAATTGTTATCTAAATTACACAAAAATAAAAATAACACAGATAGTTTAACAGATATATTTGAAATACTAAAGAGTAAATTCATAAAATAAAGTTGCCATTGGCTTCAACCACAGCCTCCAGAAGACTTCTGAATCTCCTGCAACTCTTCTTGATGATATCCTTATTTAAGTTGGTGAATGCTGTGATAATCCTTACCTTCAGTTCATCTTTGGTGTGACAAGGAGTTTTGTTGGTCTCATGCTCAACTGCACCCCACACATAATAATCAAGGGGGTTGCAGTCTGGGGAATTAGGAGGCCAAATATAAGAGGTGATGTGGTCGGAGAAATTGTCTGACAGCTATGACGGGATTCTCCTCTTTGTGCAGCATGATGCAGAGTCCTGTGGCCATATATAGGGTCTTCCAGCAGACAACCTCTTGACCCAAGTCACCCTTACTTTCTCAAAGCACAATGTAGGCTGCCATGTTGAGTTTGAGGCACTCACCAGTAAATTCAGTAGTTCTTGTTCTTTCAGAATGATCAGAATGAGTTTTCCAACCTGCTGTACCTTCATAATCACCATTAGAGTCATCTAACTCTTTCTGAATCCTCTTCACTGTCTTCAGATTGACATCCCAGACACTCTGAAATGTTTGTATTGGAACTTCCAGTATGAATGCTAAGCAGTATAGAATGTCATTTCCAAATTTCTGCTGGAGTGAATTGTCTTAGTGCTCTTTTTCTCACTGATGGTACTCAACTGACCCTACCATACTATCAGCCATGACTTGTTTCTGTTTATGTGGCATGGTGCGGAGTCCTGTTGCCAGACATAAGGTCTTCCAGCAGCCACCCTCTTGATCCAGGGTAGCACTACCCCATCAAGGCACTTGATGTAGGCCTCCATGTTGAGTATGAGGCCCTGTGGGAAGAAGAATGATGGCATAACATTGCCATCAATAGTGATCACTCTAAATTCAATGATGTTGACTGGATATATCATCCATCTCTTTCCAAATCCTCTGCACTGTCCTCAGATTTAATCCAAACACTCTGAAATATGTTCATATTGGAGATTCTGGTGCAAATTCCAAGCAGTAGTGCATGCTGTTTCAAAATTTCTCTCTGACTGAATTGCATCATGGTGCTTCTACTCACAGATCTTACCCAACTGACCCTACCATACTGTACAGTCAACAAAATTAAAAACAAACAACATGCATGCATGCGCAAAATTAAATATACAATATGGCAACAATTTACCTATCAGACCCTGTATGTTCTTTTCCTGTCCTCTGAGTATCAGATTTTCCTGGCCCTCTTTCTTCATTATGTGCCCCAGAAATTTCAGTGTCTCTTCCCCATGTTAAGTATAAGTGTCCTTTTTCTTGCAATTGTCTCCAGAAATCTGTCATTGCTTCCCAGATATCTAACTTGTATTTGTTTGATTTTGGTATCTCAAATCTGTAATTTGCATGTTGGCTGTCTTTTTTGCTAACAACCATATATTCAGTCTTCTTGTAATTGATGTTTTAGTCCTTTCTTCTTGCTTTTCTTAACTACTTTGTGTAGGAGTTCTTGTAGTTTATTTTTGTGTCTGCTAACAACACTTGTCATCTGCACATCTTATGTTATTAAAAACTAAAAAAAATGACTAAATTTTCCTTGTTAATCACGTTCAATTAAAACTTGTAAGATAAGGATGTGTCTTTTCACTGGAATTATTCAATTTATACAGTAAGGTGATTCAGAGAGAATCTTAACTCCTACAAGGATCCATTACTGGTGGCTACAATCTTAAATTTGATACTTACAGGGCATACTGAAGGCAAGAGGGACAGATAAAAACAACTCATAGCCTACCTAGTGAGCTTGAGTAAATAAATGGTAGATCAAGGTTTAGGAGATAAAAAAAGACAAAATAAATTAAGAGCTACAAAGGACAGGAAATTGGGGGGAGCCATGATCACCAATATCCTGAAAGGAAATGGCATACAGAAAAGAGAAAGACGGATTGCTGCCCAAATATATAACAGTTAAAGTTAAATAGATGAAGATTTAAAATAGAAAGCTCTAGAAATAAAAATAAAAATTAAGCCTGAATTTGCACTTGAAGTGTTGCATTAAATAAATGAACTCGGAAAACAAATCAAGCTCAGAACTAACAGATTTTAGCAGTTTTATAAGAAAACTGCTGAACCTAAGTAACAAAGTATAAAAAAAAGGACGCCATTTGTATTTCAGATATTTAATGTAAATTTTACTTTTTTAATAAAGGAAAACAGCAATAAAAAAAGGAAGTTTTTCTTTTCATATCTCCTATCATTTTGATTGTAATACATATATTTTATTCCTGTTTAATGTTTGAGAAATGCAGGATAGAGAAATGAATAAATTTAGTGCTTCATTGACATCTTTGCAACTCATCTCATTTTACTTTTTCACAATTCCAAGAATTTCTTTCTGCACTGATAAATATTGTTTATAATAAATGAAACTAACAAAAATATCTGTTATTTTGTCATCTTTACAATGCAAGATGTTAAACAAAAATATCAGAATAAATGCAATCATGCGTATCATTCTGTAAAATAATGAAAAATTATTCTTTTCATACTAAAATCATTCATTGCCGTTCATACAATAGAGAGAACATATATTAGATATAATTTGGTTATTTCAAAATTTTAAACAGAAACGTCATTGTAGAGTGCCAAACTTTTTATGATGAGAACATATCAAAAGTATTTTCATTTTTTATAGACATTTCTTCCAAAGCTTATTTCATGTACACATCTAAAGACAATCTATGACTCCACCTTATTATTAATATTATCATTATATATTAGGGTGTATCAAAAGTATTTTCACTTTTTTCTAAAGACTCTTGCTCCAAAGCATATTTCATGTACACACATAAAGACTATCTATGACTATATTATTATACATTAGGGTGTATTAAAAGTATTTTCATTTTTTTCTAAAGATCTTAGCTCCAAATCTTAGTTTATGTACGCATCTAAAGACTATCTATGACACCACCATATAATTATTATTATTATATATTAGGGTGTATCAAAAGTATTTTCATTTTTTACAAACCTCTACTCCAGACCTTATTTCAGGTACACACTAAGCAGTATCCTTAATTCCACTATATTATTATTATTATTTTGTATGGTATCATCTTGCTGGGGTGTAATTTTAAGTAACTAATTACCTAGTCCCCTAATCACTTAGTTTTTATAGACCTTCACTACAGATCTTATTTTATGTACATGTCTAATGCTAATGACTATCTATGACTCCACCATATTATTATTATTATATATTGGAGTGTAGCAAAAGTAGTTTCATTTTTATAGACCTTTACTACAAAGTTTATTTCATGTACACAGCTAAGGACTACTTATGACTATAGTTCTAATATTATTAGATAATATTATTATATCATATCCTTGACATTACTATTAGGTTGGTGCAAAAATAATGACGTAATAATGTCATTTTTTGACGTATCTTTTAACGTCAAAAAACGACATTCTTACATCATTATTTTTGCACCAACCTAATATTTAGTTGTAGTGTTTGTTTCAGATATTAAAATGGTGAATACAAGTACTGAGTTTCTATTAGGTTAGTGCAAAAATAATGACGTAATAATGTCGTTTTTTGACGTTAAAAAATACGTCAAAAAACGACATTATTACATCATTATTTTTGCACCAACCTAATAGAAATTTAGTGGCATTGTTTTAAACTGGGCTTTAAAAACCACTAAAGTTGTTTCTTGAGTACAAGAAATGGAAAAGGAACAAAATAATATCAGACTAGATTTCCTAAAATTGTTTTTAGAATTTTAAAGGGTGGTGATTTGTCTCTTGAAATAAAGCATATAAGTATAAGGCAATTGGTTGCTGCTCATGATGATTAAAAAGCATGGTAGACCCAACCACCTGCATTTGAAAACATTTAGAAGAGCTGGGATCATTGGAAGACACCTTATGTAAAGCAAAATGTATATATGTGCATGAACAGAGTGAATATGTGTAGAGGAAAAATGCTTTTGATAAACTTGGATATTTCTTTTATTTTGATACTTTCTCCATTTTTCATCTTTTTCCGCCATGTTTTTTCTTTTTTTTGTTTGATTCTTATTTTTTTATTCTCTTTCATTTCTTTCACTTACAATTTTCCGTCTCACCTGCAGTTTTCTCTCTACCTACTTTCTTTTTTTGTTTACATTCTTTTATTTATTTTTCTTTCTTGCTCCTCCTCCAACCCCATTTTTCTTTTTATTGTGTTCTTTTTCAAACGTTTCTCGTCATCATTTCCCTACATTAAGGATTCTTTCCATTTTTTCCTTTCATGCATGTATTCTGATCCTATTTCTCAATCCAGCCATCTTGTCATTCAAGTTTCCAGAATATGTAGATGTTGTTTATTTATTCACAAGAACTACAATGCTATCTTCGTATTGCCCTGTTGGAAAGTTTTTAAAAAAAATCTCAATGAATGACTTTTTCAGGAATTCATTTATTCACTTCAATGAATCCAACAATAATAAGATGAATTCAAATTAGCGATTTAAAAAATGAAAATAATTTTGCCACAATCTGAATGAACTACGTAAATTTTTTGTTAATTTTTCTTATTAAAATGGCTCATCTGATCTGTTTTGTTAGAAGACTATTCAGAAAATCCCGTTAACTGAAAGTGAAGCTTATGTGCTGGAGATCCCCAATTTTGTTGAACAGTCACCCTGACCTTGTTTATGATTTTCTATTTCAATAAACAGCACAGAGAATGCAAATTCTTTCTTTAGCTAAGACATAGTTTTCTCTGTCATTGCCACACTCTTGTCTTATCTTATGTTCACACAGCTGACAACCCCAGATTGGGCCTCTTGAGCAATGATGGATTTACCTATAGGCTTAGCAGGTTAAAGCCTAAGGCCTCAAAACCTAGGGGGCCTCTAGCCAAGTTATATAATATTTTTTACACTGTCATTGGCCTTTCTTACACATGCTGCTATAATGCATTGTAGACAATAAACAACCCTTTTGTAATTTTCCTTACATTCAATTTCAGAATAATTCTGTCTTTAGCTGATAACTCAACGCTAGCATTGATTTCTTTATAATTTTTAAAAATTTAAACATTCATGCATTTTTTTTTATTCACATACTGTATTTAATAATAGCATCTTTCATCCTTTAGAAGAGAAATTGCCAACTCTGGAATTTTAAACACTCATCATCATCCTCGACTTTACTCAAATTGTTTAATTTAACACACTTCCATTTTTTTTTAAAAACAATTCACCACAAGCAAGGTAGAAGTGCCACTAGTGCACAAGGGGTTACAGAGGATTGTGAACAAGAGTAAAGAGGCATGTTTGGGGAAAGGATACAGAGAAGAATGGGGAACAAGCTGAGGGTGTTAGATGTCGATTGACATTACACTTGAATATTAAAAGATTATTGTCATCGGGGAAGCAAGTAAGGGGAAGGGAGTTCCACAGACAGGAAGTGTTCAAGTAGAAGAGACGGTTACATTTAACCATTTTGACAGTGAAAGGGTGGGACCAAAATGCCAGCCTGGTAGCTTGCTTAAATTCATGTAGTCCAGTCAAAGTAGCTCATTAGAACAGTTGCCATGAAAATATTTGTAGAAGAGACAGAGGGTTTGTGGGAAAGGGGGATTTGGATGGGTCGCACAAGTGGAAGAGCCTGGGGCCTCTCTTCATCTATATCCACCTTGCTCTTCATTCTTCTTAGTCATCTTAGTGAGACAGTCATCACTGTCTCTTCTCCAGATCAGTTCTCTCCCATGGAGTTATCTGGTATTGAATTGTCTTCTTCTGTGGAGAAATTGAATGGACTTCTAATGGTAACTAACCATTTTCTTTTTGAGAATGCACTGCTTGTCTCACTTGCCGACATATCAGAATCTACAAAGGGTGCAAATCCTTTATGTAGCACTCTATTCCATTGATAAGAATATTGAGCAAGCCATAGTCCTGTTATATATATATATATATATATATATATATTAAGAAATGGACAAGGTCCGACAATTTATTTATTAAAGACATATTTTTATGTTTAACGTTGTTATTTCATAGATACAAGTATTTAAGCAAATGCTCTGTTTATGATAAACAGTATTAAATAACATTTACCGCCCTGAATGTCCGAGAAATTTTCATAGAAAATTTTTAGTTCTTTGACAGGATTCGAACCTGCATCCTATAATGGAACCGTCATATACGCTGACGTGCCTTACCGCTTAAGCTACAAATTGAGTTTATAAGCAGTAAATTCGACCTTGTCTACCGATTGGTTCTTTGTAGCTTAAGCGTAAGGCACGTCAGTGTATATGACGGTTCCGTGATAGGATGCAGGTTCGAATCGTCAAAGAACGAAAATTTTCTATGAAAATTTCTTGGACATTCAGGCCGGTAAATGTTATTTAATACTGTTTATCATAAACAGAGCATTTGCTTAAATACTTGTATCTATGAAATAACAACGTTAAACATAAAAATATGTCTTTAATAAATATATATATATATATATAGGAGGCACAGTGGAGTAATGGATATCGGCTTGGATCGAGGAATCAGAGAGCCGAGTTCGAATCCAGGTTGAATCCATTACATTCACTTACGTGCTAATACCCTTGAGAAAGGTATGAATCCTCCTTTTCTCCCTCCAGCTATGGGTAAATAGCAGGACAGACTGGGTTCTATAGCCTTGGATGGCAACTGGTCTAGGAGAAGGACAACTCTGAATTCAAAACCTGCGGAGGGTCGTTTGGGGACCTCGTGGCACGCAGTGCACCAGATCTCTGTATTCAGCACTTCAAAAAGAGTGGATGGTCCTGCACAAAACCTTCACCACTATAATCAATTCTCATGTGCTGTTGTCGGGCTGTCGGTTTCCTGGGAACTGATCTGCTTGACCCTCATACGTCGGATTCGACGGAAGAGTCGATATATATATATATATATATATATATATATATATATAGGAAGACTCGATATATATATATATATATATATATATATATATGAGAGAGAGAGATAGGCCTATTCAATATAAACTGCTTCCATTATTAATCACCGCTTCCTGGTGGAAATTTGCTTGATGCTCCAATGGCATCTTTCTACTAGATGATATACATGCAGCAAAACCATAGGTGAGTCTCCCACTCATCAAGAAAATCTTTAAATAGTTTACTGTTGAATGAAGTGTCATTATTGCTAAGAGGTTTGGCCAGGGGACTCTGAAGAATATTACCTTCAAATGATTAATTATACTAAATGAATTCTGCTGACACAAGTAGTTTTTACCAGCATGTGGAGTAATGTCCCCCATCCCTACACACACTTGACTCCATACGTCACTTCTATCCATTTCAGCTTTCTTCCATTGTACTGGTGATGGATCAATGAACTGGATCTTCCAGCATCTCCTGATCACCACCTTCATGACTGCCTTGGATACTGAAGGATCAATCTGTCTTGCAAATTACAGCATTCTTTTGACATCAGCATGTCCACTTTGGCAACAAATAGACCTTAGTTGATCTTGAATGCATTTACTCACAGACGTCACACAGACATTTTACATGGGCTTGATCTCTTTTTGATCCTTTTGTCAAATCATTTGTGAAGTACCTTTGTCAGCTTATCTACAAGTTCTGATTTGATCTTACCAGTATTAGGTCTACCAATAAATGCATAGTTTCAAATGCATTTATTAGGGCTTTGTTTAAATAGTTTCAAATGCATTTATTAGGGCTTTGTTTAAATAGTTTCAAATGCATTTATTAGGGCTTTGTTTAAATAGTTTCAAATGCATTTATTAGGGCTTTGTTTAAATAGTTTCAAATACATTTATTAGGGCTTTGTTTAAATAGTTTCAAATGCATTTATTAGGGCTTTGTTTAAATAGTTTCAAATGCATTTATTAGGGCTTTGTTTAAATAGTTTCAAATGCATTTATTAGGGCTTTGTTTAAATAGTTTATTAGGGCTTTGTTTAAATAGTTTCAAATGCATTTATTAGGGCTTTGTTTAAATAGTTTCAAATGCATTTATTAGGGCTTTGTTTAATCTAACCAATATCATCAGCCTGTACAATGGCCTCTCCTCTCAGATGTAGTGGAAGGACTCATTCAGTCTTTGTAATTTCAAAATCTTGAGATGATTACACTGAAATAACTTGTGAGAAAATAGGGGATATTCAGATATGACCCGAAGCCACCAAGGCAATACATTAAAGTCCATTGGTAAGTCCTTCAATCACTAAGAGTGCCTCTTTCATGACTAGCAAGGGGGTCATGATCAATGCTAATGTCATGTCCTCTTGTCCATTTCACAGATATTTCAATGCAATGTGGCATCAAAAACATAGTAAATCAATTCATGCTTTTCCACTGATCCACAGCGCAACATCTCTGCATTGATGCTGACAGTCCTCGGCAAAATGATTTGGTCCAGAGCATCAGTAGGGCAGGTCAATTTTGAAACCGTGGTATTGCACCGAGTTTGTAAGTTGGGGTTTCATATGATAAATAATGACACAATATATTTTTTCTAAATTGTTACACTTTTTTGAGGAAATGAGTGTAAAGATGATGTTTCCAGACAAAATCATAGTGTTGGAATTTAATTTTAGTGATCAGTGAAAGCCCTATGGGACAGCCTTATAAAATTTCTAATTTACTGAAGCTTTACAAATTTTATATGGACAAGATGAATAACACTACCACATAATTATTAAAATCACTGTAACATCAAATAAGACTTCATTTATTTCAAAATGAAATTATACTGAACAGTTTAGCCGTATTATGATATAATGTTATACAGTACTGTAGTTTCAGTGTGATTTTCAATAAACAATGCAAATTTAAAACATTTTGTCTTACAATTTGTGCTCAGCAATATTATGTTGTTATATACATTTTTATCTATTTTTTGTTTTTATTAATTATGATCTAACAAATCTTATTCATTGAGTAACTTTTTTTTTGTAATTTTTTACAACTTTTTTTATACCGTTTTTACTTATACAGTAAAAAAAATGTTATTTTTGTGGTGATTCATAATTAGAATTTTGGTTTGAATATATTTTGTATTCAAGGTATCTAAAACAAAATATTAACTTCATTTGGATTTATTCTTGAAATAGTAAAATTTTGAAGTCAGTTTGTATGCAAAAACCTGCAGAAATTAGTTATTTTTGTCCATTTATGAAATGTCATTTAAAACTAAATGCTCAAAAATTGCTAAAAACTATCAATCTAATTTTTGGTGAAAGTTCTTATTCCATCAAACCCCAGCTTTTACACTGGGTGCTGATTTTTCAAAAAATGGAAAAATCAATCTACCTTACTGTAACTGGTGATACTGTTACAATGATTGGTAGTTGGGGATGGACCTCCATGATTTTCCATTGGCTGAGTAACAAATGTCTTCTTAGTCTCTTCTTTCTCTGTCATAATGATGCAGGCTCTGCTTAGCAGTTGACTGAAGATCATATCAGCCATCCTGGATGATGCTCAAATTAGCTGCCTGAGATGGCTTAGCAGTAAGGACACATACATATGGCATCCATTGTTCTGGCAGTTCTCTCATTAGTAGAGCACGCTTCTCCAGTTCTGCCAAAAGCACATCCAATGTTTCATTAAGGTGCAAACACTGTATCATAAATTGTTTGTATGCCATGAATGAGTCAGTTTCAAATGTAGCTATTAGGGCTTGTTTAATCTGCCCAATATCAGCCTTCTCATCTTTGCTCATGTCCTAGGTAGAACAATAAACTAGATTCGTCAGCAAGCCTCTGATTGGAAGGTTTTCAGGAGCATGGAACCACCTCTTAATTGCTATTGTTATCAGGTCCACCCTTACCTGGGGTGGTAGCACCTGTTAAGTTCCCAGCTATAGGTAGATAGTTAACACCCAAACTGGGGTCAAAACATTATGAAAGTATTAATAGGTTTCTATAGTAAAAATACTAGCAAGACATTTTTGAAAAAAAAAAATTACCAGTAATACATTTTTCAGAAAAGACAAATTGCCAGCAATACATTTTTGAAAAAAAATAATTACCAGTATTACATTTTTCAGAAAAAACAAATTGCAAGTGATACATTTTTCAAAAAAAACAAATTGCCAGCAATACATTTTTGAAAAAAAAAAAATTACCAGTAATACATTTTTCAGAAAAAACAAATTGCCAGCAATACATTTTTGAAAAAAAAAAAATTACCAGTAATACATTTTTCAGAAAAGACAAATTGCCAGCAATACATTTTTGAAAAAAAATAATTACCAGTATTACATTTTTCAGAAAAAACAAATTGCAAGTGATACATTTTTCAAAAAAAACAAATTGCCAGCAATACATTTTTGAAAAAAAAAAAATTACCAGTAATACATTTTTCAGAAAAAACAAATTGCGTGATACATTTTTCAGAAAAAACAAATTGCCAGTGATACATTTTTCAGAAAAAACAAATTGCCAGTGATACATTTTTCAGAAAAAACAAATTGCCAGCAATACATTTTTGAAAAAAAAAAAAAATATTACCAGTAATACATTTTTCAGAAAAAACAAATTGCTAGCAATACATTTAAAAAAAAAAAAAAAAAAAAAAAAAATTACCAGTAATACATTTTTCAGAAAAAAAAAAAATGGTGCTATTACACTTTCGCACCCTCCAAGTTTATGTGCACACCTCCAAATCCTGTTGTCCACTGATTGCGAATAGGTTTGTTCCATACAATGGCTTTTGCAAGCAATGCAGTCTATACTGACTGTTAGCAAACTGTAGTGATGGCACCAGTCAATGCAATTATCAATATTGTTGTAAAACTGTGCTCCAATCTTCAAAATGGTGATGTCTTCAAAAAACTTGTTGATTGGGAACACACTATAATACTTAGTTTGAAATGAACAGTAAAGTACGTGAAGTGATGAATGT